AGCTAATTTTGCACCGTGCTCTCAGAGAGGGAAGCATTCAGCGCTGACCCCCGAAGGCAATCAGCTTATGCCCTGCAGCATGCAGGTTGATATCCCGTGTAACTAAAGGGACTTAATGACTTTGCATAAGCTTTAAGTCTAGCAGTATAACCTGCATTTCCAGCACTGGCTGCAGAAGCGTTTGATAGCGCAGCACACTTGTGTTAGTGTGACAGGCTGGCTCCTGCAGCCCCCTGACACAGATTTTGTAGCTTCCCCTTTCTGTGGCATCCAAGGCTGACTCCATTTCTCACGCGGGAGCACGAGCACACCTCACCCACCAGTGAGCAGGTTTAAAAACAACCCGCTGGTACCAGACCACCTCTCACAGTGCAAAGATTCATTTGAAAACTTTGATCTCTTGGAAAACAGGAGCAGGTAACTCCTGAGCGGAGAACCAAGCTGGTTTCAGCAGCACCTCTGAGGGATATTGCTTTTTTTCCTGTATCCCTGTGTTTTTTTGTATCAGGTGCTACCATGGGAAAGGTTCACAATTAAATAATCAGCAAAATAAAGGCTTTAGATGTGAACCTCTCTGGGTACCCTGGGACCAGTTGATAAGGACACATCATTTACTATGAGGCACACATTGCAGCTCAGTGTGGAGGTAGGAGATGTCTTGTTAGCAGAGAGGTGAAGAAGTCAGAGGTTTTGGTGGAATCCTTTCAGAGAACGGTTTCCCAGGCTAAAACTACAACATATGTTGCATGTGTGCTCCAGATGATAGTATACCCTGCTTTCATTATACTGCAACCATGGTCTTGGCTGAGAAACACAATGTCATTGCTGGAAAGCCACTTTCCCTTGAAGTTCAAAGACAGTCACTACCCAAGATGGTTGCAGGCAAAAATCTGGCCGATTGTAAGAGCATCAGAACTGTCGATTCCCTCCTCCTTTGGCAAGCAGCCCAGACAAAGGTTCTTACTGAGAGCTGTCAGTGGGATCAAGGGGTTCACTACGAGAAGGCAGTAGTTGTGTTTGCCCTCGTGGCTTCTTCATGCCTGATGTCAGTTCTGGATGGAAGTTGAACAAATATACATCTTCATTCTCCAGTTCAACCCCATCCCACCTCCTTCTTGGCTACAAAGCTGTGACTGCACAAGTGAACAAATGAAAGTGTAATCTTTGTTCTTCTGCCATGGAGGCCACTTCATGACAAGTTGCAGGAGAATCTGCAGAACTTAATGCAATTAAGCGAATAGGCCAATTCCTACTAATGTAGTTTAATGTTTGAACTCCTGTAGTGCTTTGTTGCAAAGTGTGTGCATGTGTAGAGGTAGTTATCACCTCTCTTCCTAGTCTGTCATTCCAGCTTGAGTAGCTACACTGTTTTCTCTGGAATTCTGTTTTGCACACATGTAAATTCACAGCCTAACCCTGGGCTGTCACCTTTTTGCTCTCTTTCTCCATCTGCTTTTTTTTTAGTTTTTCGTTTTTATTGTAATAAGGGGTAACAATGTACCCAAGACACAGCAAACAGTTTAACTGCAGAATGCCCTTGGCAGCTGTAAATAATTTCCCTTGAATTTGAGGTCAAATCTTCCTGGGTTTATTCACAAAGAATTGCCAGAGATTAACTGGGCATTTTTGTCTGAGAAAGAAATATAGAATTCTGTCCTGAGATGAAGAAAGCTCATGGTTCTGGCATTTCTGTTTGAAATCTATTACATTTCATTAGTCTCTCTTTCTTGAGGAGTTGAAATGGAAAAATTGAGAACATCATATATCTGCAATATTTAATCTTAGTACAAAGTCTATTTAGCAAAATTTTGATGGTTCCTTGGAGAAATTAAGTTTTAGTCAAGTGCTAATCATTACAATGATGACAGACAACAAAGATCAGGTGATATTAGGTTATTTTGAATTTCAGTCATTTTTTCACTATTTTTTCTAGAAGCCCCATAAATGTAATTGGTTTCACAGTCAGCAATGCGCTGATACCCATATAAAATGTTTTTCCTCGCCTTTTTTTCTCAGGGTTTCTTTTTTATGAGCCTAAAGTAATAAAATTTAAAATTGCTCTCTGCAAATTCTTCCAGCTTTGTCCCTCATCTCTGCAGACCTGCTACGAAAAGGATCCAGTGAATTTATTCCCTCTTGAGAGAGCACACAAAGTATCAGTGTCGAGCTGCAGCAAGGAGACTGTTTGGTGAAACCAGCTCCACAGTCTAATTTCTTGCCCCCCCCTTCACTCCTTTTGTTTGAATCTTGCTCCGTGTTGGGCTTAGTGTTGCACCTCGTCAGAAGGACAAGATCCTCCTCTGCTGGCCATGAGCAATACGGCACTGCAGGCAGCAGGCCCTGCCTTCACTGCCCTGCCTGCACCCCCTCCTGCAGCCCCCTCCTGCCCCCGCGCTGTGCACCTCTCTTAACAATCTCCTTCCGCATCCCATATCCAACACCTTGCATCGCAAATCCTACATCCCGCACCCCCTCATGGTGCAGAGGAAGGGGGTAGCTCCGGCAGACAGGAGGGAAGGAGATGGGCTCTGCACACCACCATGGCATGCTTTGTGCCAGGAGCCAAAAGGATAAAATTTGGCCCTGTGTTGGCTAGTGAGGGCAAAACTGCTTGAAAACCAGTGTGGTCTGGTAAGTGGTCCACTGGACCTCAGGAAGGAGGAGAAAACTCCATGCTGAGAAGTCAGCTCTGCCCAAGGTTTTGTCCTCTGCTGCAGCTTGTGACAGGCACACAAGGAGGGAAAGCTGCAGCGTTGTATTTAACTCTTTGACACTCCATGCTGGGTGCTCCAGGAGCTTTTGTTCCCAGTAACATTTGTGCTGTGTCAGCAGATAGAGACTTTCATCCAAAAGCAGGAACCAAAATCTGGGACTGAGCCACCCTAGAGTCCAAGCTCTGACGGATGTTATTGGAAACCTGCACGTTGTCTCGGGTACTGCAAGAGTTTAGGGTATCTGCCCTTTCGCAGTCAGCTGTGCTCGTGCTTGGACAGGAGGGGCAGGTGCGTCACCTGGAAAAGAAAGTAGTGTAGCAAAGGGCTATGTCTTTCGTCTTTCTTATTTCCTTGGGGTGTGAGCATTGTGAGACTCTTATCTCTGCTCTTCAGCTGGGGAAACTGAGGCACAGAAAAGCGTGATGTAGTCATGTCCTGCATCTCTCTCAGCCTGGGCTGAGATCCTTTGACATTCCCCTGGGATGCCAAGGGCTGCCCCGACTGCAGGGACAAGCTCACTAAAGTCAAGCCCTTCAGATCCAAACCCTTTCCAACCCCATCAGGCAAACAGCACAACAGGGCAGCGCAGAGAGCTGGGGGAGGAAGATGAAATGTTTCTTGCTTTATCCTGCTTCCTTGTTCTTTGTTTCATCTATTCCTCCAAAAGAGAGGAGTACACTTGCAGGGTTTTTTTGGTCTGTTTATGGATGAACGCTACCGCTAATTGTAAATGGAGCAATTAGACCTTTGCTTTATATAGTCTCCGTCGGGGTCTGGCAAAGGATCTGACGAATGCTGTACCTGCACTCAAGAAACATATACACCAAGGACAGAGCTTTTACAGCCTTCTCATTTACCATCGTCTCTGCACTCATTCGGGGGGGGGGCGATTGTGTGAGGATATGTCCTTCCAGCTGCAAAGGATTTAGTTCTGTATGTGTGTGGCTCACTTAAATGCACCTGGGAAGGGGCTCAGCTGAGTGGTTCAGAGGACATTGCTCTCATTAAAGTCAGTGGGAAGGGGGGAGCTGGAGTGTCTGTTCTTCCTGCCTCAAACACAAGAGGGATACAAACGTGCCTGAAGCAAAAACTCATTTATATATTCCAGATAATATTCACAAATGTGAATTCTGAGCTTTTTTTTGTTCTGTTCCTTATTCATTGCTTCTGATTCATTTGTTCTTAGTCACAACCGGTGTTATCTGAGAATATCTTCTATATATAATGTACAACTAAACAGGGCATATATTCACAGTTAATTGTATCTGTAGCAATGCATAGGTGCACATAACAATCGTGTATGTATGCTGTCGTTATTATGGCTGCTAAATTGTTTGGAAATATGTTTTCTCCAAAAAAATCATGTGAAAGATGAAGAATAGCAGCTCCAAATCTCCTTCTTTACACTACTGTTAGTATGTGTATCCTCTTTGCAGGCAGGTAATCCTGTCTGCAGCTGGGATTTAAAACAAGAAGGAAAGCAAATGGAAATCATCATGCTGGGGATACGTCCTGGTGCAGAGTCAGTGTATCTCCTTTCAGACAAACCTCACTCGCACTCTTCAAAGGCTGAGAGCTGTTTTCCGTCATCTTCTGTTCCCTTTTGTTGCTTGCCCTTGACCATGAGCCAAACTGGAAAGGCTGGAGCCCCATGTCCAAGGTTTGACACATGGCATTTCCTAATGGAAAGCACCAGAAATATTCTCCTGCATCCAAAAATCCCAAAATCTGTAGGCATCAGCCTGTAGACAGCCCTCCAGCTCGGGGGTCCAGATCCCGCTGGCTGCACCAGGCATAGGCTCCTGGGCCGTGCTGCAGTGCCTGACCTCCACTCAGGTCATGCCACGTACCCTGACATGTCCCAGACTCCAGCTTTGTCAGCCAGCTGGAGTGTGGCCCCTGTCAGTATTTCAGAGAAGCTGGACAAACAGCCCATGTGCCATCACTTTAGAAGCTAAGAGGCAATTTAACTCACTCAGGAGAGGTTTGCCCCCAAACAGACCAGCCCAGCAGCTTGGGCTGTGTGCTTAGAAAGTCAGATATCCCACACTGATTGTTGGCATTTTGTTAATCTTTTGAAAGAGCTCTTAAAACCCAGTCCAGTTAGCTCCAAAGTGGGGAACAACCTTGTCTGGATGTCCAGCACTAGGGGCAAACAGAAACTTTGCACTGTAAGCAAAGCTCTGCGTTGGCTTTTGTTTTTCTTCAGAAACTTTTGGGTTTTTTTCAGAAACAAAAACTTTTGGTTTTTTTACCCTTTATTATCTCATGCAGGCTTCCCAAGTTTCCCTCTGGGTCCACGAAATGCAAGGTAAGTTGTTTCTGTTTCTTCTTTATAACTTCTGAGTACAAAACTTAAAGGCTTGCAACTTGGTTCATCAAGAGCCTCCACTAGTGCTCAGTGCTGAATTTTACTAACTTCATCCAGAGCCTTGCTGAGCTTAAAGTAAGGCCTGTGTAGAAAATATGTTTACCTTTGGACAAATAATATGGCGAACACTTTCAGACCTGCACAGGTACTCCATGTGCAGGAGACAACGCTGCATTGTGTCCCCACTAGGAGTGTGTCTGGCACGCTGGAGCCCAAAATAGAGGTACAGCAGCAGTACCAATGAGCAGCTGATCATGGGATTCTGCTAGATCACACCTGCAACTCTCAGTTCTGTTCCAAGCCAGGACTTTTCTGCAACTCTGTGCCTTCATGTGCTTTGGGGACCTGTGGGTGACACAGTGGGTGACGGACTGGAGGAGAAGTCATGGTGCTGGGATGCAAACCTCACAGAAGGATAAGCAAAGAGCCTAGCTCTGGATGAAAACCGAAGGTCAAATAAATGAAAGCTGACTTTCCCTTGCAGCTTACAACTAACTGTGGAACTCATTTCTGCAAGGTTCTGTCCAAAGTGCAGGAAGGTTCAAAAACTGTTTACAAGCCCATGCAAGTAAAAAAATCATTAAAGGCTAATATTTAAAAATCATTAAATAGCATTAAGATGTTGATAAGGGAAAAGTTGTGATGATTGTTGTGTGAGGATGCGTAGATTGTGTGAGGATTTGTACATCCTTTTTCAGCCTACTTGGTCTACATAGAAGAACTATGTTTTAATTGATAAGTTTAGTATTTTTGCAGGTAAGCCCAGCTCCTCTTTTTCTTGGTTACAGTGGATCTTACATCTGAGTTTATAATGTATACCTAATGATGTATTACATTAATTTTGTTCATTATTCTGCAAAAAAAGAGTGTGGGTTTTACTATGCACTCATTATCCATCTGCATTCCTGTTCATTCCAGTGGCATTTTGGCTTTGAGATCGAACCTGGAAGTCCAGAAACCTTGTAGCTCATACAGCAGTGCTTCTTTCCCCATATCAAGGCTGCTGTTCTAACATGTGTGTAGAAAACAAATTTCCAAATCATTTGTGAGTCTGAGCTCAGTATTTGACTTCTACAAATATTTGGCCCTAGAGTCATACACTTGACTTCAGGGTTTGCACACCTGTTTACACACAAGTTTGCAGCCTTGTGCAAACTGTTTGATTCACTTTTTAATGGTAGAGTATCCTTTTCACCATCTCTCAGTTCATTCCCTCCCCTGTGGTGTACAGTCCTCACATCTATCCCTCCACTGTACCTACTCTCTCGCACTCTCCATCCCCCTGCAAATCTCCACTCCTTCAGCCATCATGGTCCACCTTCACCCATCATCTATCCCTCTGAGCAAAAAGGTGCTGCAAAACTCCTTTTAAGTAACAACCACAAAACTATTTGAAAGGCTTTTGGCTTTGTTCTTAGCTGGTCTCCCTTCTTTCTGAAGCTGCAGATACTCCCAGCCACAGCCTGCTTAGAAGGGAGGAAATACCATGAGGTCTCATCTCTGCAGAAGTAAACGGGGAATATCTCATTATTTAAAATATAGTCAGGATTTCAGCCTCATAAAAATAACACTACAATAACCTCAGAGCTGGAGACAAAAAGTATTTAGAGAGGTGGTAGGAAAAGTCATCCTGCTTAAATTAGGCCAGATTTCAGTCAGTCCCCAGAGGTTCAGAGAGCTTGAATAAATGGTGGGTACTTTCTGGTGCTCTTGATGTGTGTTGGCAATAGGCTTTAACTCTGCACATCACTCATCTTGACAACTGCAGTCCAACAAAGTTACCTCACAATTCAGGTCACCCGATGGCATCCTAATGCATCACTTTCCCACTTGGAACATTAGTCATGACTTGATCCAGTGAAGGTTTTGAAAACAGTGTGACTGCCGACGTTGAGATATCTGTTCTCTCAGTAACAGAGAGCTTGTGTAAGCTAATGAACAAGGGGATATTGATCAGAAATCCATTGCTTGATTGACAGCTCTTGGCAATATGAAAAACTGCAGATGAAAGCTTGAGCAGTTTAAAAGATCACCCAGACCTCAAAGCTGATTTGAAGCTTTAAAAGTCAATCTCTGTCTATCAATTATGGGGGGATTTTTTGTACTACACAGAGGAAAGTTATTCTTTGAAAATTTGCATGCAGGATGTCTAATTTAATTTCATGTAATAGTCACATTGCAGTGACAAATGTCAGATCACTGCTTTTTTAAAGCATGTTAAGGTTTTCCAGCACTTACAAAGAATGAGCACTCTGATTTAGTAATATGTTTAAATCAACCAGTGTATCAGACTTTACACTTTAATTATGTGCTCAGATAAAAAAAAGTGTTGTTTTTACTTTACTAAACCTATGGCTTGTTATGAATAATTAAAGAAATGGGAGCACTTCTTAAATAAGAGATGTGGAAGCCAAATAGTTATTTAATGTCAGAGCAGTGATAAATAAGAAGACATCTTTTAGTTTGGTGTCATATACCCAAGTTAGGGTTTTCTGGTCTTTGTTTTTCATTGCTTTGTGCAGCTGGAGAGGACGCAGAGTAGCTGGGAGATGGGAAGCATCACTCATGTGACCTCTAGAAGCTCTGTACTAATGGTTTAAAAAAACTAATGGTTTAAAAACTAATGGTTTAAAAAACAGAGTAGATGATTCTACAACGGCTTAGCAATTTGTGCTCTTTTGAGGCACTTATTTTTCCTCTGTTGATTTAAGACAGTCCTCTCCAGCCTAAAGCACGCTGGCATATTTGCAGTCTGCTTTTGGTAGCCATAACTCCCCTCTTCATCCTTCATAACTTCTAGCAGGTATATTTTTCCATAAAAAGGGCTACCCCATCCTTCAGAATACTTCTTTAAAGCATCCGTAGAATAAAAGTCAACATGCCCCACTAAGATTCTGAAAATAAACAGGAGAAACAAAATCAGACTCCTTTAGACACTTCCTTCAAACTCCAGTCGTTTGCAAAATCTCCTCTCCAACAAAGTGAACTTGCAGGCTGTATTTCAGGCAAAACTTCCTTTTTGTTTTTCTTTCTTAACTACATCACATTAAATTTAATTTTGTTCACTGTAGACAATGTCCTTATCTTCCAGCAAGATCCTTCTGTTCCTCAGCAAGGCATACACTTCTGCAACACTTGCACATAGTCAAGACTCAGCTCCTGTGGAAATAATGAGCTGAGGAAAAGGAGTCTTGACTTGACATAGCAATAAATGAGGTGAAACTTTCCCCTTTTTTTTTTTTTTTTTTGTGAGAAACGAGAGTTGGCATGTAGGAAAAAAAAAAAAGAAGAAAAAAGACAGTTCTATTTTAATATGAAATATAAAACACCCATTGTACAAACGTGGAATTTCTTTCTTTTTTTCAGAAGCAAAGAAAGAATAAAGATAAAGGCTGCAAGTGAATGAATGAGGAGAGAAAACTAAGATAATGCAGTTGATAATCAGTTCAAGGCAGAGCATTATCCATGGGGCCATCGGTCCAGCCCTAGGGAAGAGCTTTTTAAAATGTCTCTGTACGTAGCTTAGCTTTGCTCATTACCATACCTTGTCTTTGAAACGCTGGAGTGGCTTCCATCGACAACAGTTGTACCTGTGCAAGGAGCTGCCAGCCCACTTTAATCAAACGATCCCCCCAGCGCAGCTGGCAAAGCTGCAGGTCCCAGCAGGCTCCCGTGAGGACACTGGCTTCTGGTGGCTCTGGGCTGGTGGGCGAGGATGGGCTCCTCAGTACATGTCTGCTGTGCCAGGCCCTCGCTCCTTGAAGGGTGTTTTGTGGGCAAAGAGGCACACAGACGTGCAGGTGCCTCAGGCTGCCCTTGGAATGAGACTCTGTGTCCCCACACGCAGCAGGCACCTGTGTGCAGGGGAGGGTCTTGCCTCATGCTGCAGCAATGATGTGCTGGTGATCAAAGCATCTGGACAAAGAAAACCCCTTCTTCTTGTAGAAATCTGAATCTTCTTCCCTCACTGCGCTGACACCAGCCTCAGCATCTTCTCTGGCTGTGCTGCCACATGAGGGGCTCCTTAAGCCTGTGCCTGCAGAGCCCAGGCCTGCATCCCATCTGGGGCATCCCAGATGCCACCACGGGAGACAGCTGAGCAGCCAGGGATCCAGTGCCCTTCCAGAGGGTCAGGGAGGGCAGCACTGGGGCCAGTGGTGCTCAGGGTGCCCATGCTGGGCTCTAGGTGAGCTCTGCCTATGCCAAAGAAGAGCTGAATGGCACTTTTGGTTCTCAAGATGATGTAGTCTCTAGACCCACCAACATCCCAAATGAGCTGAAAGAGATAAGGACTGTCCAACTCAGGGAATAACTTCTTTTATACCTTGTCTCCTTCCAACAGTTTTGATTCCTCTGTTCTTTCACCCTCTTCTCACCCCTCCCTGCAGACAAGGATGATGACTTTGAATACTATGACTCCACGGAACAGGAGCAGGACCCCAGCCTCCAGCACCATTCCTGGGAGCAAGTGAGCTTTATTGAGACATCTATAGGTGACTTCTATACCATGCCAGGTACCTCTGAGGGGTGGGCAGGGAGGCAAGGAAGGGGTAAAATCCCAACCCTGAGCTTGCAGTGTGAGTGTGGCAGGTCTTGGCTGCCAGCCTGCTCTCGAAATGCCTGCATCAAAGGGATGAGTTAGGAGGATCATTTGCAGTGTTCTTCTTTGTATTTCTCTTGTAAGGAGGTTGTGTTTTATCTCCAGGTTTCACAGGATGGATTGTGATCATGCAGAACATTTCTGATTGCTACTACAAAAAAGCACAGGCTTATTTGTCTATAGACACTGTAAGATGTAATTGCTGTTTTCATGGGATATATGTTCTGTATTTATGCTAGGAACCAAATGTAGAGCAGGTTTGTTTTTTTTTTTTCTTTTATCAGTTGCAGGGTTTTTTTCTTTTCTTTTTCTGTTTTGCCAAACTTCAGGAGAACAGGAAAGGATCCTCAAGATTGCTCAGGAAACACAAAAGGCAAGACAGGGAAGTTGCCTGTAACGTTCCCTGAGTTATCCCCCCGTACAAAGAAAGCAGAGCTTATATTTGACTGTCCCCGGTATCAATTACTCCTGGCAGCCTGGACTGCAGTGGGGAGGTTGAGCATGGTGTAAGGAGCAGTGTGCAAGTGACTCTCAGCAGGCACCTGCTCCCTTGAAGCAATAGCCACTCAGGGGTATTGTAGAGTCTAACAGTGATGGATGGCTTTTCCACGGGAAATACAGCACCGTGTTCCAAACAGAACAATGCCGAATACAGACACCTCCAGACTAAGCGCATGAAAGCAGACAGCCAGAGGCAATGCCAAAGAGGCAAATGTATCCCTGAGCAACGAAAGGGGCTTGCCCCATTACAGCTCCATAATAGACATGGCAAAGGCAGCACAGGAGCTGCAGACCCAAAGCCATGAGCTGTTACAGCTTGCAATAAACTCTGCAGCAATTCACACCACTCCTGTGGCTGCTGAACTGATGCATAAGCACAGCACATGTTATATCGGATGCTGTGCCCAGGAAGGCAGCCTTCTGCAGTCAGAAAATGTGAGAAGAAAAAGCAGGTGATGAAGGCTGAGAAGCTGAAAGATCTTCATCCTTACCTCTGCAGACCCATGCCTCTCTGACCCCTGTAAGAACGGTGGTAGGTGTGCATCCAGTGGAAGGGACTTCAGCTGTGCCTGTCCCAAGCCATATGGTGGGACCACATGTGAAAAAGGTAATAGCTCTTTGGCTAAGCTACACTCTTTATTTTGGCAGTTAATGTTGCTGTTACAGCTTTATAAACCCACTGTTTGCTGGGCTGAGGGTTCTGACAGCCCACAGCAGTCATGTTCATAGATCTTATGCTTAGTGCCTTATCCAGACCAAAGTCTGTCTGAATAGCATCCAGTAAAATAGACTTCAGGAGTGCAGAGACTACTTGTTTATCCCCTGCCAGGTAGGCAGTGGGGAGCTGCTCATTGGTACCACAGATATTTTGCCATAAATACCATGAACATGAAGAGAAATCGCAAGTCCACACCTGTTAAATGAAAGCGTCCTTGGGGCATCAGGAGAAAGCATCTTCCCATGATCCCTGCAAGGGCACAGCTCCTGTGTACACACAAATGCTGACGAAGTACCTTGTGTCTCTGTTTTCCACAGTGGAGGACATGTGCCTGGACATGAACTGCCGCGTTGGTGACTGCCTGGTTCTATTAAGCCCGCCTTATTTTCGGTGCAGCTGTAAGCCTCCGTACAAGGGATCATTCTGCCAACGCTGTGAGCACTCAACAGGACAGTGAGAGAATTGTGTTAGGGACAGCACCGTGGCCGGTCTGTAGTGGGAAATCCCTTGCAGCCCACTGCAGAGGGTGGTGCTGCCCTAGTCATGCAACCTGAGTCTGCTGCAGCTCCCACCTGTGGGGCTGGCCAGTGATGAGTTATGCTTGGTTTGCAGAGTGGTGGTTCAGTCACTGGTAGAACACCCAGTGCTGGGCATTTTGCAAGACTTCATAAGAACTCAAAGTCAACAGGCTAAATGGGAACTCTTTCCAATTTCCATTGGGCATGCGAATGTTTGCATAGTGTTCAGCAGATTAACAAGGCTGTTCTGTGTTTTCCACATTGACAGCATCTAAGCAGTGCAGTCCCAACCCTTGCAAAAATGGAGGTACCTGCATACGGAACAGAAAGAGATCAAAATTCACCTGTGAGTGCCCTGAACCTTTCAGAGGGAGATTCTGCGAGATCGGTATGTCACGGCTCCGGGGGAGGGGGTAGGGGAGAAGCCTCCAGACAACCAGGGCTGGCTTCACCCTGCAGCCAGACTGACTGATGCTGTCACTGCTCCAAGTGCCCGGCTACACCTGGGCACTGACGTCCTTGGGGAGAGGGTAGGAGGAAGAGGCTGACTTGGTAAAGGGGCTTGAAACAGTTCCCGTACCGGCAAGGTACATAATGAGTGAGCGTGCATTTCCCAGAGGTTGCACATGTCACATGGAGAAGAAATATCAGGTTTTCCTTAAACACTTGAAATCTGATGTAGTGAAGATTAATGCCTGTGATTCCACAGGCTGAGGGAACTGCTTCTGATGGGTGGCCAAGGGTATGGGATTACCCCAGCTTGCTGCACAGAGAACCTTCTGCCTCTGCAACATCACTGTGGGCACCACACTCCACACAGGTTTCCAAGGAAAAGGATCTTTTTCTTTCTCTTTTAAAAGTTGATTGCCCTTCAAACTCCATCAAACCCCATGTACCACTAAATACTCCACGTTGCAGGTGACTTTTCCTTCTCCTTACCTACAGGTTAGGTTCACAGCCCTATAACCTTCCTTTTGGCATATAATTTGCCCTGGCATGATAGCAGCAGCGTGCCCACTTCCGTGGGATCTGCCTAGTCCTACTTAGAACCAGTTCCTGCACAGGCCACTTGTGGAGAGATTCTGATTTGAAATTAAGATATCTCTTAACTGCTCAGTCTTTACCAAGCAAAGAGATTTTAGGCATTTGAAGTAAATCAAGCTAAAAGGTGGACAAATGCTGGGACATTGGTCTTATTTCTGGACTGTGTACAATAAGGAACATCATTACTTGGCCCAGTAGGTTCTTCTGATCCTCCATAAAATTAATGTAGGACAAAGAAGGCAATGAAGAGAGACCATTTTGGGCAAGGAACAACACAAAAGTCATTTTCATATGAGTATTGTCTTCCTGCAGGACCAGATGATTGTTATGAAGAGGACTCCTCTAACTACAGGGGAAGAGTGAATCAAGCAGTAGATGGCAGGACCTGCCTGAACTGGAATTCCCATCATCTCTTGGACTTCCCTTTTAATGCCTTTATGGAGAATGCTGACTTTTATGGCATTGGTGATCATAATTTCTGCAGGTAATATTTTGAAGAAGTAGCTGTAGAGGTCTGTATCAAAGAGAGCACCGAGGGCAAACTGCTCATGAGTTTGACAAACTGATTATATTAGGATCTCACATCTTTCTAGACACTGCCTGTCTATAAAACACCAGAATGTTAGAGATGTCTTCTCTAACTACACTGATGTGCGGCTTCCAGAAGCAGCCCTTTTTTCTTTGAACCAGTCCCACAGTTTTCTTATGGTTAAGACAGGTATGGGGATAGTAATATGGAAGCAGGCCCCCCTTTATCTCAAGCATCTTTGTCAAATCTTATGAAAGAGTATCTTTGGAAGTCCAGATCCTATGGGAGCATGAGGTTGCTCCCCTAAGCATCCTCAGCTCCTTCACTGGTTTCGTGGAGATTTCCCCACTCCTGCTGGCTGATTCTCTCACCTGTTCCCTTCAGGAATCCTGATGAAGATGAAAAACCCTGGTGCTATGTCAGAAAAAATAAGGAAGTAGATTGGGAATTCTGTGATGTTTCACCCTGTTCAGGTAAAGAATTAAGAGTGAGCCACTCGGCAGTGTGTAGGTGGTCCAGAGCAGTGGGCACTGCTACTTAACTCCCCCAGTCTAATATTATCTCTGCATTATACATCTGCGGTCACTTCCAACACAGATGTAGAGCCAACAGACCCACCCGAATCACATGAAATATTCGAAACATGTGGACAACCAGAAGTTCGTGGAACACTCAAGAGGATCTATGGTGGATCCAAGGCTACAGCTGGCAAACACCCCTGGATGGCATCTGTGCAGACAAAGACTCCAGATGGGAGTGAACATTTCTGTGGTGGAGTGCTAATTAAATCATGCTGGGTTCTTACTGCTGGGCACTGCTTTGAGTAGGTGCATGCCCTACAATTGGGGTAGATAAGTGTATAAAAATTAGAGTGGTTAGTAAAGACAGCTTAGTATCCAAATCACTTGCAATCAAAATGATTACTGGCAATCAAAGTGAAAGGAAAACGTGTATGTGAAAGAAATGGACACATACATAAAAATGCTTATATAGTTGAAAATGGTTCTTGTTGAAATCTATGCCCCACTCCCCTAAAATGAGCTAAAATAGTCACGTGAGAGGAGAAAAGGAGGAAAGTAACAAGATTTTGCAATGTATAAAGGAAGAACTCCATGAAAAATTCAGAGGATATTGGGATACTAAAAGCGATATCACATATTACATCAGAATTAAGTTCTTCAAAACAGTCAAAACATGCATTTTGCTTTCAATTGTTACTGTGTCAGCTAGCTTTAAATATTTCCTTCAATATTTGCATTGAATTAGTTGGAAGCCACCTAGGAAACAGATAAATTACATTCTGGAGATCATTCCAATGCAGATAATTTTAAATACGCCCAGACAACATCAAGCAATTGTACTCCCGTGGCTCCAGCGCACCACTACTCTGCCCTAAAATGCAAAGAAAAGCATGTATGTGCAGCTTTAAATCTCTTTATTTCACGATTGCAACAATTAAGAGCACATGTATTTTCCAACATCACTGCTTTCCTAAATAAGCCTTCCTATAATGATCTTAGGAAATCTTCTGGCCATACTTGACAAAAGGAAGCAATATCTTGACTTCCTGGTACTGAAGTGCAGGTTTTCACCACAACTGATAGACAATGTCTGTATGTAATTTACTTTTTTTCTTTTTTTTTTTTTTTCAGAAACGGGAAAGGAAATATCCAAGTAGCCCTTGGAAAGCAAAACCTCAAGAAGAAAGAGCATCATGAGCAAAGATTTGATGTGGAGAAAATCATTGTGCATGACAAATACAGTGATAGAGGTGGCATCCCATACAATGATATTGGTAAATCCCTTTCACTGAATACTCATGTGTCTCACCTCCAACCTCAGTTGTTTGAAGCTGTTTGTCTCCAACTAAAATTCTCATTGAGACTGTTCTCTGGAAATAATTAGGATGAATTGTGATCTAGGCCCATTTGAATCTTTGAGATGTAAATTGTAATGGGCAGGCAGAAGTGACTCTGTAGGAGGAGCAGAACAACTGGGACAGGTCCGACATGGAGTGCAAATGGCACGTGGGGTGCACACAGCTTTGCACGGGGGTGTGTCACGGGCTGGTAACAGTGGTTAGGTGTTAAATGTCACCCCAAATACTTTTTGCTGTTGTTTATCTCCCCTCCAGCACTACTTAAATTGAAGCCAGTTGATGGTTACTGTGCAGTGGAAACAAAATATGTGAAAACAGCCTGTCTCCCTAACTTCTTCTTTCCCACTGGGACTGACTGCTTCATTTCTGGATGGGGCGAGACAGAGACAGGTATTTGTGGGCTACCTGGATTTTGGTGGGCACTTTGGTGCCAAGGTGGGCTGGTACTTTCAGTAGCAATTGCCAGAACCAAATGTGAACTTAGGCCCTAGTGAAACCATGTCATGGAATTCAAAAGCTAAAACAAGCCACAGAAATTACTCGTTAGCAGAAATCTCTGCTAAACCAACAAATCTTTCAGAGGCCTGAAAAAAATCCCTGACACATCTTTTTGCTTGCCAAATGACTCACTATGTCATGGTTTCATCTGAAGCCAGCAATAGAAGCAAGAAGGTATCAAGAGAGGCTATTGTATAGCTTGTGTGTTTCAAGATTGGACCAAGAAATACTTTCACATGGTTTTCCAGCCCATTGTGTCAGATAAAGCTTTTCAGAAGCAGCATCTGGATCTTCAGATGTACTGAAAAATTAAAAAAAAAACAAAAAAATCCATAGCTTTTCAAGTTCAACCAGCTCTATCCAAAACCTTTCTTGCCTGCAGTAAATCCTAAAGGGAGAAATTACTGTTCTTAAAACAAAAGATAATGGCAATTTTCTAAAAAATGCATTTTCTCATGTTCTGATTGATGTGCTACTGTAAAGCAGCAGAAGGAAAACGTGTCACTGAGGCTGCAGTAGGTGTTCTAGTGCTTTGTGACTGATGCAGTCTGATATGATACATAGGACCAAATTCTCCCTTCTGCTGTAACTCTCACTGAAGTCCACAAGAGACAAGTGTGTTCATTTGATCAGAATGCACCAATAGAATTTAATGGACATTTTTTAGAAGTTCCAAAGAAAAAGTCTTTCTTAAAAAGGGTACAGGGAAATTTCTTTCTTTTCCCCCAACAAAAAGTATCAAGTACCCTGTACGTGTTCAGACTAGATGGCTCCTTCTTTGAGCACAGCTATTATTAGCATTTCAGGAAATAACTGCAGAAATGGAATATTTCCTGAAACTCAAGCAGAACCAAACTTATAAACTACCTTTAATTATCTACAGATGTAGTGCTTTGAAACTCTGGCTACTGCCTTTAGATGTCAAGTTATGTCTTTAGATTCACTGTAATTAATCATTGCCCTTAAATATTGTATGATTTTCAGTTTTCATCTGTTTCATTAGCTTGCATGTTAAAACATCTAATGACACCAGTCTGAGAAGTGCTGAGCAGCTCAAAGTCCCATGGGGACCTGTGGGAGCTGCAGACAACCAGTACCTTGGAAAAGCAGGATTGCACGGGTAGAGCTGATTGGAGCTAAATTCTGAATACATGACTTTGCTTTTATTCAGGCAATAACTCGGTGTCCTGAGGGAAGCTTACAGACCCCAACTCTAACCCTTATCATTCCTGACAGACAGTTCTTTTCTTCCCAGGCTAGCACATGCATCCCCCCTGCTCTTCCCCATCCCATCTATATGGCAAGCAACCTCCTATTTTGAATAAAGACAACACATGCAGTGTTGGAAGGAAAGTGACTACTTTTTTGGTGCACATCCCATAGGTGAATCATCTGATCAGCTGTTAGATGCCAGGGTCAAGCTAATTTCACAGAGGAAATGCAATGAACGTGAACTACATAATAACTCACTGGATGAGAGCATGTTTTGTGCAGGAAAACTTCGAAAACCCGGAATTGACTCTTGTCAGGTTTGTTGCCTTTTCTGTATTAGAACACTAATTTTCTGTGTGAAGAGTCAGGCTGTGCAGAGTAATAGGTTTGGCAGGGTGCTGCATGTGTGTCTGTTTCTCACATCAATGTACATCAACAGCCTTTCTTCAGTACACTTTCAGATGTACATCCCCAGAGCTGATATTGTCACTGTCACCTTCAGGCAGATCTATGGAAGCTAGATACCAGCCTGGAAAGCTTGGCTTCTGAGACACTTCATCATAATAATCTGAAAACTCACCTTTTTTTCCTCAAGTTCATTATGGGTTCTACCATAAGCACCAACTTTAATCTGATTTTCACTATCAGAGCTAAGACTTGCAGGGAGTCAGTATTGATGTTTCTTCTCATTACAGCTGGCACAAATGGGAAGCAAGTTCATACTTATACCATTGAAAGGTAGGGAAGAGCTTGAACAACACTTCCTAAGGTGCAAACTACCACTGTAAAGCATATATTGCAATAGAAATCACAAATAAACCAAAAATTAGACCAACCAACCAACTCAGAATAAGTCTATTTGAGGGATATGAGACAGATTAAGGTTTCATTTGTGCCAGAGATCACATCTTTATTGTCCTGAGTTCAGGCTCTGAATGCCTGGTACTTTCATGCCTGGGAAATTTCATGTGACCTTGTCAGATACATGTCACAGACTGGAACAAACGAAAACTTACATCCAAAAAGTCTGGTATCATTTGACCTAGTTCCAGAACTGCAAGTCTACTCAGGGACTAAGCAGCATCTGATGATAAATCTAATAGGTAAATAACATCATTGCAGCTTCAAAATTTTATGATGAGAGAGAAGCATTCTGATATTGCTTCATGTTTTGAACATGTGCTTTCCTTCATCAGGGGGACTCTGGAGGCCCATTGACTTGTGCGGAAAACAGCTCCCACTACGTATATGGCCTTGTGAGCTGGGGTGATGGCTGTGGGTTAAAAAACAAGCCAGGAGTTTATACCCAGGTGACAACATTTCTCAGTTGGATTAAATCTACAATTCAGGCTGAGTCGAGGTTACGTCATTAGGAGAGAATGACAAACGGTAAGCTTGAGGTATTTACTATTTTTATCAAGTCCCCAAATACTTCCTCTTTGACCAAAGATATTTCTGATATTTTCTCATGGCCTACACAAGGCATCCTTCACCACCTCTGTTGTGGGCTTTGAAATAAGCCCACATTTTGTAACAAAAGAGATCAGAAGGTAAAGCTGCTCCAGTTCTTCCTCAAATAAATCAGAGTGCCTAATATCAAACTTTCTAGTTCTGCTTTTCAAGCCATGAAAATTCTGCAGGCTCAGCTGCTGCCAGCCATTCTCTCTTTCCCTTATGCTCCAGTTGAAGATGTGTTTTTTCTACACTCATTGGACTCTTACACTCCAAAGCTATTCGTGTGTGCTCTTAAAATCAGTGCAGTTTTTCACAAACATAAAAATCACCATGTTCATGAATGCAGCCACTGGACTTATCTGAGGAGAGAGGATCAGAGAGAATTATTTTTAAAAGTACTTCGGTATGCAAATAACCCCAAATTCCACCAGTGATGCCTTCCAGATTGAAAAAAAAACCCAATTTTCAATTATCCACTTTATTCCAGATTAAAGGATAATTACTTACTAGGCTTCAGATCTACAATGGTATATGTGCTTAACAATATCGGTGAGACCTAGTGAGAACTAAATGACATTAGAAAAATCTGGTTCAAAAGCTATTGGATAATATTGAGGTTTTCATAAGTTTTGCATGTCAAAACTGTGTAATTTGTGCCAAATGATTCTGCACAGATGTACAAAAAACAAGAGATTGGTATTAAATCAGTATGTAAAGAATATACATGTTTGTGAAGAGCCAATTCCTTAAAATAGTAATGTCCATCTCATTTGAATTCCAGATTTTACAACCTTCTCTAAGCAGCTGCCTAATCTATCAATAGCTACCCATATGGTGATAATTTTTAAAATAGTAATTTTGATTTTTTTGCTTTGGAAGGTATGAAAAAGACTGAAGAACTAATTGTGATCTGAATATATCCTGCTAATCTAGAGCAAATTCCCTGATGTCTGCTAGAAGACCTGACCTTGGCTAGTCAGTGATAACTCTCCTCCCACTGGACTTTGTCTTGTTCATATTTTTGTATTCTCTTAGGTCAATGGTGCCAATAATCCAGAAACATAAAATTCTCCAAAAATTATAAGTATGGAATAAGATTCACACAATTTATTCATTACAAATTTTTTTGTATTCTACCATCCATGGTACAAAGCTGAGCCTGCCAGTCACCTAGTACTAATTTCATTTACAGCTTCAAATAAATAGCAGAATCTGTAATACATACAGTGATAAATCATAAAGTATCCACACAAAATAAAATTATCACTTATAAATTGCAGCATTTGGGTTGCATTTTAAAACAAAAAGTTCTTAAATGCCATCTATTGTGTCTTCCAGAAAACTGGAAAACCTACAGGATTTTCAGGACAAGATGAAAATCTATGTATGTTATGTCACGTTTCCATTTACTTCTGATACAGCTGCATCTGCCTTCTCTTGAATTGCAGAATTTCTGAAGCATCAGGGTTGACTGCGACTTGCTGAGATCTTTCTGTCTCCAACTGGTCCTGTAAAATCATATCCAAATAGATTGTGAAACCAGCCAGTGGACAGAAGAGGTCTTTAACTATAATTCTATAAAAATATTTGCATATTAAAAATTGCCACAACTGGCAAATGAACAAAATCTAAATCACTGCTCTGCACTGAGCAAATTTCTACAGTGGAGAAGTGCAAAAAGTGGATCTGCTCATGTAAGTTAGATACCACACATACCAAAGGACTAAATGTGCTCCTAATTTCTAATTTGAGCCTAAATAAAAAGCAAACCAGAAAACACCTGAGTTCCACATGGACTGCACACCGGTAGGTTTCCCTTGGACTATCAAATCATTATCATATCCAGAACTTAAGAAGATACTGCCTGTAGTTCCCTCGGCTTGCATTACTCAACCATAGTTTTCTTTTATTTCTTGAGTAACTTTTCAGATGGAAATGCAAATCATGGATATCCACTGTTTCTCTTGAGCACGATTATTGTTTGACTTGTTTCCAAAGTTAAAAATTAAATGAAACAAGTATTTGAAATGCAGTGCTTCTCTTTTATTGTAACTTAATGCTTTCTAACTCCAAGGGCTACAATGTCCCCCTGTATGGACTTCTGCTCTCTAGTGCTGGGGCACTGCAGACTGGGAGTCATCCCTGTGGAGGTAGGGAGAAAGAAGCCTGGAAGATCCCAGTCTGTAATTTCTTTAATCTTGAGCTGGACAGAGGTGGAGGAGGGGAGCATTCCCTCTTTGCAAAAAGCCTCCCACAGCACACATTATGCTGTTAGGAATCTACACTCAGCCTGTCAATATGGTTGCCAGTGGAGATCACATGGCATCACATAATTATATTGCAACACATGGTGTCCTGCTTCAATTAGGAAAAGAGTAGGGGACTTGCACAGGGAGTTCCTTCCACCTCTACTTCTGCTTTCCACAGAGGTACCAGGACACTCGGAGCTCTGACAACATCCACAAGTCAAGGGAAACACATCCCATCACATAAGTAAATCCCATTCCATGGCATTTCCTAGTCCCTACAGTAATTTCTCAGCCATGACACTGCTGAATTCCCTTGAGAGGTTCCTTCAAATTAATATGTACACTAAACCACAGAGCATCATGAGGGAAGTGTACATATCCTGTTCAAACAACAGAGAGAACTGTAGACTCCGGGGAGCACTCAAAAGTATTAAACAGGATGTGTGCCCATAAAGAACAGAGCTCTTGGGATTTGTTGGGTTTACTCTACTTACAACTCCAGGTCTGTACCGAGCAGCAGCACCCTGCAATCCCATCTCCCGAAGGTAGGCCAGCTCAGCAGCTCTTCTTGCCATTTCCACCTTGTGAGAACCTGGGGGAGTCCAGCCAATGCCTCTGAGCCAGTTCAAGTCAGACTTGTATTTCACCTGAGAGAATGAAACATACCCCAGTGTGTATTCGTTTTGTTGGGCTCTAATCAAATCACATGCCCTAGGTATTCAAGAGAGAGCATATAAAGAACAACAGAGTTGGTAATAAACAGATTATTCATTTTTAGCAAGTAGACTGTAGTTTTTTCAAGAGCTTGATGTTGTTGAAGGTAAGGTCTGCAAAGCATATTGCCACAGACAGTCCCTAGCACATGGAAAGACCATGTCACTCAGCTGTACTTACATCACTCTGCAGCTTGTAGGCCTGCTTTGCATGTTTCACATTTAGCTGCTCAGGATCACAAGTGTAGTGGTGCAAAAGCTGCCTGTAGTTAAGGTTGCTTGCAAGCTGCTGGCTTCTTTTGGCATGGAGGAATCCTGGCTGGTTGAGGTGACTCTGGAACTGTCCTCTGTTTTGGGCATAATCACTCCTGTATTGGATGTCACTCTGGAGTTTCCCCACTCTGAGGACATGTCTGATTTTGGGATCATCATTTGCACTGAGGAATCCAATTTGCTGGCCTCTGTCTCTCAGGAAGGCTTCTCTGTATTTGTACTGCAGGAAGTGCAGAGGAAAATCTTGTTTTCACATTCAGATTACCTTCAAATTCCATTACTGTCCCCTAGCTATCAATCATGCTTCCTGCAGTGCACAAAGACCAGGGGTTTGATATCAAACTATAACTCCTAATCTTACAAGATGCTTTAGAAGAATGACCTTTTTTACTCATTTTTAAAACAGTGGAAAGACTTGGGGGGGCAAAATGCTCAAAAGGAATCATTGTTGCACTCTTGGGCACACCCAATACACAACTCAAGCAATGAAGCTCCTTCATCTTTAGCTTTCTTGACTACTGTGATCTTCCGTATTCAAAGATGACCCACTTTATTCTAGACCACACTTTAACTATTCATAGCCTGGTACCTATTTTATTTGTAAGGTAAGGTAATGTTGACTACATCATAATATGGCTCCTTCCCAAGAAAAAGTCTTAGGACATGAAAGAGGGCAGCCTGGTATTGGACATTATTAATGGTAGCCTTTAGTTGGAAATCTTTACACTTAACCCTAACCAGCAAAGAGTTTCACTGGATCACCAATTTTCCACACCAGAGCAAAGTTCACTTATGTCAGAATTCACCTATTTTTATAGGATGGGATGGCATAGGAAGAGGGTTGGGAAGTGTTTGAAGCAGAACAATTCTTACATCACTGGCAATCTCTCTCGAAGCCTTTGCTGTCTGGAATGGGATGGCATCAATTCTAAAATCATAGCCAGATGCCCTTGTCTGTTCCCAAGATGTTTTATACAATTTCTGTGTTGAAAAGAAAAGAACAAAACAGTCATTTCCCCCTGCAGTTTCTTAAACACAGTCCCATAACTGCAATAATAAATGTTTTATCCTACTGGGCTTATTTGTATCAAGAGTCATCAGTGCCATCTCCAAGGTTTTGATCCAGTTCTATAGTACTTCAACTTCTTTTCTATTCACCATAATGATAAAATGCCTCATCTGAAAAGTGCCACCAGGGTTTCCTTTTGTACTTGAATGTGGTTGGTTTTGATGTGATTTAATTTCTATTAGAAACTGTGATGCATCAGTCACATCAATATTGCATTGATATTGCCCTTATTCTCTCTTTTGATGCATCCACTCGCAGTGTCTTGGGTTTCCTGGCATCATAATTTCAATACCAGTTATTTCAAGCTTTTCAAATGATCCCTGTCTCTATCCCCAGCCACATGTGGCTTCATTAACTCACACAGAATAACAGCCAGTTCTAACATATTTAATGTGACTTTGAGGATGTGTAGCACATTTACATCCTGAAGAGAAATTGCTCTAGATTTGGTTCCTCTTCCATTAGTAGCTTTCTTAAAATAGCTTCAGGTCTGCAGGTCCTGCTACACGGTCATGGTATCTTAGCTGACACTTTCGTCTGTCCCTTTGTGATTTTATTCCTTTGCTTTCTGTAAATCTTTGATTCATCCTTTCTGGATTTTGTGACCATATGAAAACAAGCACAAAATCCACTCCACATTTAAAAAGATAACCTTCTGTTTCACTGGTGAAAGGAGTGCTAGGTGGTGTTAAATTTGAAGACACATTGAGATGCTAGAAATCCTGCAGAACAGCCTGGATAGAAGCAACGCAAGCATAACTGTACACCCCTCTAACAGCCTGACCTTTCCTTTGTGTGCAGTCTTTGCACACAATATTTGCCTTTTTACCCTCTCCTATATCACTTCAAAAACTGTGAGTCCTACTTGTTTCTTTCACCTATATAGCATCTACCACCAAACAAACTTCTTACAAACTAAGGTCATTCTGACCCTACAGGTAAAGACAACAGCTATTTAATCAGGGAACAGGACATCAGGAATAGACTGAGTTCCTCTGTATGAGATAATAGAAACAAATTCTCTTTACACCAACTCCACTCACAGATTCAGTTACATCCATATTGATGACAACTATGACTATGTTCAACACAGTGATGCAGCTTCAGAAAAGCAGATTATATAGTCAAGGAAAGAGGATTCTCCCTCCTTCCTCATCCAAACATAAGCAAAAATATTTTAATTTGTAATTAACCATAACTATACCGAAGGTCTGAAATCCTTAATAATAGCTTACTGCCCTGGAAAGTTAAATGAATTCTCGAAAGAAAAATGAACAGACTTTTCCTGATTCCTCCAGCCCAAAACTACAAACAGGTTGGCTGTTCACAGCCTCTGGCTTTCTTTAGATTTGGTCAGGCTCAGAGAACCTGGCTTCTACATACATGAAGGTTTTTATTCCCAAGCAAGCTTACCAAGTGACCTCCTCAAAGGAAAAGGTTTACTTACATCACTGATTTGAAGCGCATTCTGTCGGGCTCGGATAAAATCCGGATGATCAGGAGGCAGAGTGTACCTGTGCCTGTCTTCAGAGCCTCCAGCCTTGTACAGTCTCTGTGGGGCCAAAATCATTGAATGAAACAGATACTGGAAGCAATGTCAAGATCACTTCTTTTATGAATTATAGTACAACAAAAGTTAAGATCACTTTTACATTAAAATGAAACCTACATCACTGCACCGGAGGTAGCTGTTTTTGGCATGAATCAAATTTGGAGAGTCAACCACGGCAGTGAACTTCAAACTTTCTGGCTTCTGACGGTACTTTATCTGAGAGGTGGAGGAGGAAACAAACACAAACAAAGGAAAAAAACATGAGATGCTTCAGTTAATGATATATGACAATTCTGAGTGTGTGATAACTGGAGTAAAACATAAAAGACACTTTCTTGAAGCTACTGTTCTGCTTAAGTCTCAGTTGCTCTTTCAGCTAGGGACTGGGGATGCCTCTGTATCATTCCTGTGTGGTGCCCAGGCACCAAACTTCTTTTTGTGTGTATGTGCAAGGACTTCCCACTGAAAATTCACATGCAAAAAGCTTTTGAACACTACACTTTTGACAGCGCATAATTTTTCTCCATTAATACATGATACTGAGCAGTCAAATGCCCTTTCAGTGTGGTTGTCAGTGCTGTAACTTTCTATATAACTTCCATAACCACCTGCTTAGAATTTCATAATGGAATTTACTGCATTTATTTATTGCTACATGTTTTGCTTATACTCTTGTGTTTCATTTGGAATGGAAAATATTCAGCAGGTGTCACACAGTGGACTTGCGTCTCCCGTACTGCTTCTTGGTAACTTACACCTTGTATAAACAGGCTCCCACATCAAAAGGAAATGATAAGCTACATTCGTAAGTGTCATGTAACGAGGAGTCTTGATGGTAAACAATTCCTACAGACTTGCTATCCCATGAAAGATTTATCAGTTACCTCGCTGATGAGCTCTCCAGCCTTCTTTACACTTTCTATCTGAGGAGATCTCAGAGCCATCCAACCAACTCCTTTCATGAAGTTCAGGTCTGATTTATAGCGAAGCTGTTAAAAATGAAAATTGTTAACTATCAGTTTTGTATCCACAGCTATTAAGGTTTTTTAAAAAACTCTCTGATTCATATTCACATTTTGAGGTTTTTCATTTGCCATGCACATATCAGATCGTAAAGCCAAACTGTTTGCATTTGTTCATTCCACCAGGAATTAAATAATGTATCATATGCAAGTT